TTTACCTGCATAGTGTCTTATGTCTATCAAGGGCTTATAGATTACTTCTACCAACTGCGCTTCAGAATTCCATCCATATATGATTCTGTACCAAAAAGGGAAAGAATGTGGAAAAATCCTGTATACAGTTACTGTGAGGCCATCTGCATTGCAAAAATAATGCAGTTTGACACCACTTTAACTGCCATGGCTGAATGCTATGGAATCCTGGGAACTGTAGTTTGTTCTGGCACCAGAGCTCACTGACAGAGAAGGCTAAATGTCTCACAAAACTACAATTCCCAAAATTCTATAGCATTGAGCCATGCCAGTTAAAGCGGTGTCAAACTGGATAATTTCTACAATGCAGATCCAGCCAATGTTAAAAGGAAAAAGATTTCCACAACTGCAGTACATTAGAGAGTAGGGTTTGTATTTACAGTGGCACAGTAATACTGATTTGTAACACTAAAGTTATCTGTTTTCCTGTAAACATATCCTGGGGTAGCAGTGTTGGCAAAGTACAATAACATCCAAAATCCACAAAACAGTGATACCTTTATTGGACCAACCAAAATGCACAAAATACATGTTGCAAGCTTTCAGAGCTCCACTGGCTTCTTCATCAGACAAAGATAATAAAAATCATACAGGAGAAAAAAAAAATTATAATGATGTTAGTCCCAAGCCTGCATTTTGTCAAGATGTAGCTGTTCTCAGTTCAAGTGGTATTGGAAGGGACATTCATGAAGGCTGCCCACTCCTCCTGGCCATGTGGCTACTCTAGGAAATAAAATTTAAGTTTTTTATCCCCAGAAGGATTCTTGGGATTCAGAGCAGCTATTTTCATCTTCCAAAGAGAAAGAGCTGGCTGTGTTCCTTTTGGCTATAGCATCCTTCAGATGCCCTTCACTAGTACAGGATTCATCCAACATTTTATTTTAGATCAGATGGGCAGTGAGTGCTGAAACTTAATAGAAAAGTGTGTGCAAACATCATTGATTCCTGTTTTTGTCTTCCTTTCTGTCAATATCTAAATGTTATTTCTCTGGCGTGGACCTGTCATTTTGTTTATGGTGCTCTGTAAAGTACTACTAACATATGTGGTGAAAGGTGAATACAGTCGTCCTTCCAGATTTGCGGACTTGCCATTCGCGGTTTTGAATACTCGAGGATGGCAAGCCTGCATCTCCCTCTCTTCCTCCCTCTCTTACCTCCTTTTCCGCATCGACCTTTCCTTGGCTGCGTGGCATCCTGCAAAACTTTCCCTTGGCCCCAGAGGCCTGGAGGTGGCCAGGGTGGCCTTGCCTTGGCCCTGGAAACTTCTGCACTGGTCATATCTTGGCCCTGGAGGTGGCCACACCAGCCATGCCTTAGCCCCAGAGGTCGGGAGGCGGCCGGCGTGGCCATTTCTCCGCCCCACCGGTCTTTCCGGGAGGAGGGGAAGAAGGAGGGAAGGAGGGAAAGAAATACTCAAGTCCCATTGTCTGCAATAGTGCTGCCATTGAGGACAATGGGACTTGAATATTCACAAAATGTTGAATTCATGTGGGGAGCTGGAATGGATCCTCCGCAAATTCGGAGAGATGACTGTATATAGTAGGCAGCACAATCCTAGTTGAGTTCACAGGTTATTCCGAGGTAAAAAGAATACATGTAGAGATTCACAGTTTTATTTGTTTTAAAATATTTGTTCATCTTTCAGTTTAAAAACTCCCCTCTCTATTCCCCTCTCCCCTGGGAGATGGAAATAATTTTTACAGCAGCATTTAAATCTGGACTATTTTTTTAAAGTAAGGTCCAAAACACACTGCAGAAAGAAATGCTATGGATCTGTAGTTTGCTGTGTTTATAAGTGACAGTTTTCCTGCTAAGTACCTGCATGTCATAAGCATTTGAATTAACATTACCATATTGAAATCAAATCTAATTTTTAAATTTTTTTATTTGGTGTGTGTTGGAAAGGGGGGGTGGTCTTATACGGCGAGTATATCCCAAACTCTATATTTTAACTGGGAAAGTTGGGGGTCATCTTATACGCCCAGTCGTCTTATACGCCAGAAAATACGGTAATTAAAATATATGTAACTATTTTTTTTTAATGGCCAAGCAATGTGTCTTGGTGCTACAGTAGTAGCTGCTGTTCCTGGATTCACATCTCTTTCAGCTTGAATTGCAGCACATGTGATGGTGATTTTTGCCAAGTCCATAGTGCTGCTTTGTTGTGTACCTTCAAATCGTCTCTGACTTACGGAGACCCTAAGGCATGGGATTTTCTTGGCAAGACTGGTTCAGGGGAGGTTTGCCATTCCCTTCCCCTGAGGCTGAGAGTGTGTGACTTGCCCAAAGTCATCCAGTGGTTTAGACTCATCTCCAAACCTTATGGAAGGCTGCTGCTATGGCTTGTACAAGCAGACAGCTCATGAGTTTCAGCACAGGCCTCTGCTCCTTGCCTTCCTCCAAATGGCAGCGTTACCAGGTATGCCTCACAGCATATGAATAATGAATTCATACATGTTCTGAGTACACATACCTATCATGGATCTTGTAACTTTGGCAGTACTGTAGTGTATTTTTAGGCAAATTGGACTCAAAACCCCCACGTTCCCACAGAACTCTGGAAAAAGATAATTTTACTAACTGCATAGCACAGTATGTGCAAAATAGAACACAGTTAGGATGGAGGGAATGGAATTAAGCAGATTGAAGCCAAAAGGGGTGCTAAGAGGAGGGAGAGATAAGAGGAGAAAAAGAGGTTTAAAAGTAAGGGTAATGCAACACTTTGAAAGCCAGCATGATGTAGTGGTTTGAGTGTTGGTCTGCGACTCTGGAGACCAGGGTTCGATTCCTAGTTCGGCCATGAAACCTGCTGGGTGACCTTGGGGAAGTCACACTCTCTCAACCTCAGAGGAAGGAAATGGCAAACCTCCTCTGAATAAATCTTGCCAAGAAAACCCCATGATAGGCCTTAGGGTTGCCAGAAATTATTGAAGGCACACAACAACAGGAACAACAATATAGCAATATTATTGCAATAGCAAGTACATTTCTATACGGTTTATCAGTAAACTAGCACTCCCTAAGCAGTTTACAATCTGTAAGCCAATTGCCCCCCAAAAGCTGGGTATTCATTTTACCAACTTACAAAAGGATGGAAGGCTGAGTGGAAGGCTTGGAGACCTCTGGGATTCAACTCACAACCTTGTGACTGCAGCACCAGAGCTCCTAATATAATACTTTCCCTAATCCATTCCATATACACACCAGAGAAAGAGGGGGCAGTTTTGGGGAAATACAATATTCAGAGAAAATACACCTGAAAAACAGATTTAAGAGATGTCAAAAGTTAAACTTCCTTGGTCTCGCTAGGCTTTTGAGAAGCTAGGGAGCCTTCCTGGCTGAAGCAGTGTAAAGGCAAGGAGGAAAAGCTGACCAGGGTCTTCTATGCCAGAACAAGGACAGAAAGAGAATGAGCTCATGAGATTCTCTGGCCGAAATCTGGTGTGTAAGACTGATTTCAGCAAAAAGATCTGGGCTAGGCAGAAGTGAGGCAAAGCTAGGTAACTCCCAATTACATTAGATAATCTCTTCCATGTCTGAAGTATTCTGTTTGACATCAGACTTTCTCTAAAACAAAGGGACTTCTCCAAAACAAAGGATGCCGATCTGGACTTCCTGAAAGCCATTACACAGTATTTGATTTAGCCAAAGGTGGTAATGTCTCAACAAGGAAGACCTCAAAGAAACATTAAATCCATCACCTTTTCCCCAAAGGGGACGTTTCCTACCAATGTCTTTACTTGTCTGTAATTATTTGTCAATTTCAGAGCCACATGGTGGGAGAGAGAGATCTTGTGGGGAGGGGTGATATTAGGTATTTTGACTGTTTAATCAGGAAACTTAAGCATTTGATAGTGGTAGATAATGGAGTTCAGCAGGTGTGCTGGCTACAAGATTTGATCAAGAGAGGCCTTTCCAGGTAAACCTTTTGCGTTCTTGGCTGACAGTGAAAAGTGGTTTTATTTTAGGCAAGGTTGTTGTACAAATATGGCCATCAGGCTACACCACAATGTTTCCCCAAGCGCATGAATCCCTTATCTCTCCCAGATTCCCTCCCCTTGCTCCTGGCACTTCTCCCTAATCCATCCACTCTCCAGTTATTTTCTGTGTTTCTGCATCATTGAGGTGTAGTGGTTTCCACACTGGACTATGATTCTGGAGACCAGGATTCAATTCCCTGCTTGGCCATGGTCATTATGGGGCTCTACAGCCCCGGGGAGCTCTGGATTGGGGCTGTGGCAACTGCATACCACCCGCAGCCCTGATCCAGCACTTTGCCGCTTCTTTTTGGAGCAGCAAAAAGCTATCCTTCTCACTGTGGTGGTGGCTTTTCTGTGCTCCTTTGGCGCAGTGTGTCTGTACGCTGCGCCAAAGGAGACCCTGATGCCGCGCTCCATGCAGCGGGGTGTACGACATG